CAGATTCTCTAGTTTGGGGTTTGCTTTTTTATTTTATTGTTAGTTTTGCTCTAAAAAGTCTTCATTTTATCTTTATTTTTGAAGTTTTTCTGTTCTTGGGCATAGAATCATTGATTGACAGTCATTTTCTTTCAGTTCTTTGAAAAAAATAATTTCCTTTTCTTCTGGCTTCCATTCAATTGAGAAGTCAGCTCTCAAATTTAAAAGCTGTCTGCTTTTAAGATTTTCTGTTTCAGCAGTTTTGCTTTGATATGATATAACTGGGTGGCATCCTTTCTCTAAATGTATTCTACTTGAGGTTTATAGAAGATATTAATTGTTGTCTTGTTAGCTAGATATCTCTCATTCATTTCTGAAAATTTCCAGTCAGTGTCTTTTTAAAACTTGTGCTCCATTTTCTCTAATTTCTTTTGGGTATCTAACTGTGTATACCTTATACCTTTACACTGTATTCTCTATGTCTCCTTACTGTGTTTTTGGAATTTCCCATTATTTTGCCTTTCTTTTTTTCTCCCACCCACTTTTTTTGCTATGACATATCCTTTTTCCTTTCTATGCTTCCATCTGGATATTTTATCTAGCTTTTCTTTCAACTCACTATTTCAGTTTTCAACTCTGTCAGATATGCTATTAAATTCATCTATGAGTTATTTTAAGTTTTATAAAATTTGTCTTTGGTTCCTTTTATTTATTTCTTTTTTTGAGATGGAATTTTATTCCGTTGCCCAGGTTGGAGTGCAGCAGTGTGATCTCAGCTTATGTAACCTCTGCCTCCCGGGTTCAAGCAGTTCTCCTGCCTCAGCTTCCCCAGTAGCTGAGACTACAGGTGTGCACTGCCACACCCAGCTCACTTTTGTGTTAGTGGAGATGGGGTTTTGCCATGTTGGCCAGGCTGATCTCAAACTCCTGATCTCAGGTAATCCACCTGCCTCGGCCTCCCAAAGTGCTGGGATTACAGGCATGAGCCACCATGCCTGGCCTGTGTTTGGTTCTTTTTCATAGTAGGCACATTTCAGTAGAAATGCTTGATCTTATCTTTTTTCTCTATTAAAAATAGTTATTTTAAGTTTGTATCTCATAATTCCATTATCTTGGTTGCTTGTAGGTCTATTTATATGTTTGATATTTGGTAATTTAAAAAAAATCTCTTTATGCATTCACTTATTTTTGACTGAGTGCTAGACATAGTACATAAAAAGCTGTGGAGGGGCCGGGCACGGTGGCTCAAGCCTATAATCCCAGCACTTTGGGAGGCCGAGGCGGGTGGATCACAAGGTCAACAGATCGAGACCATCCTGGTCAACATGGTGAAACCCCGTCTATACTAAAATTACAAAAAATTAGCTGGGCATGGTGGCGCATGCCTGTAATCCCAGCTACTCTGGAGGCTGAGGCAAGAGAATTGCTTGAACCCAGGGGGCGGAGGTTGCGGTGAGCCGAGATCGCACGATTGCACTCCAGCCTGGGTAACAAGAGTGAAACTCCGTCTCAAAAAAAAAAAAAAAAAAAAAGCTGTGGAGATAATTGAAGTATCAAGATGATGTTTTCCTTCATAGAGAATTTATGTTTTTTTCTAGCAGGATTCTGGGAATCACCTTGAACTAGTTTCAGATCTTGAGATCACTTAAAGCTGGGCTTTAGTCCCTGAGGAGGCTGTTCCATTTCTAGTTCCTCCTACGCTTAGGTATAGGCCTTCAGAGTGCCCACTTAAAACCTGGGATTTTTACAAGGCCACCCCACAGCAGGCCTTAGACTCATATTTTTTCTCCTGGGTGAGTTAGGCTGTCAATAACTTCTCAGTCTTTTAGCCACCTAATCTGAAATTAGCAGACAACCCTAAAGGAAAATTGCCTCCAAATACCATGCTCATCTCTTCAGATTATCTTCCCATCCTAGATCATGGTTTCAGAAATCTGAAATATTTTCTTGGCTCTCTGATGGCTTCAGATAAAATTTCCCCCAGATTTTCTAGTTCTCAACCAGAATACTAATCTAAATTACCTAGTCTTAGTCTGTTCAGACTTCCACAGCAAAATACTTTAGACTTCCACAACAAAATATTTTAGGCTGGGTAATTTATAAATCCTAGAAATTTATTTCTTGCAGTTCCAGAGGCTAGAAAGTCCAAGATCCTGGTGCCAACTAATTTGTGTCTGGTGAGGGCTTACTCTCTGCCTCCATGTGGCAAAGGGGCAAGGCAGCTACCTTCAACTTTTTGTATAGGGCACTAATCCCTTAATTACCTTCTAAAGGCCCCACCTCTTAATATGATCACATTAGGACTTAAGTTCCAACATATGAATTTCAGGGGTACACCAACATTCAGACCATAGCAGCACCTTTACTGTAAGAAGAAAGCCTTTCTTTAGTTTTCTGACCTGCTTTTCTGGATAGCAGGTATTCCAACTATGCTCAGTTCTGTTAAGGAAAATTGTAACACCCATTTAAATAATACTGATTTCAGCTGGACCTGTTGGCTCATGCCTGTTATCCCAGCATTTTGGGAGTGTGAGGCAGGTGGATCACTTGAGCTCAGGAATTCAAGACCAGCCTCGGCAACCTGGCGAAACCCTGTCTCCACTAAAAATACAAAAAATTAGCTGGGTGCGGTAGCGCACACCTGTAATCCCAGTAACTTGGGAGTCTGAGGTGCAAGGATCACTTTAGCCAAGGAGGTGGAGGCTGCAGTGAGCCAAGGTCGCACCACTGCACTCCCGACTAGGCGACAGAGTAAGGCCCCATCGCGCACACACAAAATGATACTGATTTGGCAGATCTTTGCTTCATGTTGTAAACCCTAAGAAGTCCTTCCAAGTATCTTTTGCTGTACAAACACAGAGATATAGAGACCCTGAAACATATCAGTTATTAAATAAAGTAGAATTTAAAATTAAATGAAAGCAAATTTTTTTAATGTTTAGATTAAGTTTTGGGTAGAATTGTATTAACCAAGACAAATGTCATGAAAAAAGGAAGCAGAAAAGTACAAAAATGTTCTGAAAGTACCAGCATCAGTACAGCCAGATGTGGAGCGGTCCTTAACCTAGAGCATGACCCCACTCACCTAGAGGATAGAAGGAAATGTTTGTGGGAGCCTAGTGGGCCTTGAATTATAAATACCAAATGCGCTGCAATGAAAGGAGTAGTCCTGCAGAACACAGAATTCTCTTGCCTCAAATGCCAATAGTATGAAAAACTATAGGGATAATTTAAGCTTCAGGATGTTATCTTTCTCCTGAGAGCATTCATGTTTGCTTCTGGCAACAAACACCAGTAGAGCAAAAGACTCATATAAAGTTACTGTATTGCTTAGAGTAGGCTAAGCTGCTGGGAGAAGTAGACCTCCAAAATTCTGAGACTTAAGAAAAGATTGTCTTTCACATTGGAATCTGGGACAGCGTGCATAATCTAGGACAGTTGTCCACAGTTTGGACAGCTCCTTTACTCACACTGATTTAAGAGATCTAGGCTGCTTCCCCTTGTATCTCTTCTGTCTCCTAGGAACTTGTCATTATGCTTTCTCTCCCTTCTTGCCAGCTGTAATCTGGATGTGGCTTCCCAGCTGCCACATCCAGATTACAGCTGGCAGGAAGGGAGAGAAAGCCTGGAGGAGGCATACACCTTCTTCCAAGTTCTAACCTGGAGGTGGCACTCTTCACTTATGCTCACTTCCATTAATGAGAACTGACACATGATCACCCATTCCAGCTAGGAACTGGGACTTATAATCTAGCTAAGTACCCAGCTAGAAGAAGAAATCATTTGGTAGACAGCTGGCAATTCTTGTCACAAGTGTAATGAAAAGTGTGACTCGAAAAACAATAAAAGGTAAAAGTTAGTTTGGACAATGCTCAAGTGGCAGGTCAAGTTTGGACTTTGTCTTATAACCACGAGGAAAACCAGTAACTATTTCCAAGCAGGGACACAGAATGATTGGGATAATTATTTTGGCAACAGTGAGCAAAATAGATTGTGAAGACCATTTAAGAAGCTCTTATGGGGGTCAAGAAATAAGAAGATAATAAAACCAAGCATGATGGTAATGGGAAGGAGAAAGAAGGGACAAGGTGTACCAGTCTTATTAGAGACTTAAAAATTCATTAATAACAACTAACATGTATTGAGCACTTTACATTTATTAATTTATCTAACCCTCAGAAAAACTTTATTATCCCCATTCCACTAATGCGGGAACTAAGACCTAGAGTGTGAGTTGGGACAGAAGCCAAGTCATAATAAAAGTTAAAGATGCAGGAGTGATAAGGAGACTTAGGCAGCACTTGCCGATTGCTGTGAAAAAGTGTGGCCACACAGGCAGGAAAGAGACAAGACAGATGGAGAAGCCTCATCAGTTAGTAATAATAATAACAACTCATGTTTATTGAGCACTTCCTATGTGCTGGCCACTGACCTGAGTACGATATACAAATTATCTCATTTAATCCATTTTGTAGGTAAACAGACATGGTTTTCCCAGAGTCACACAGTAAATGGCAGGGCTGGAACTGTTTTCTCAAGAGAGGAACAAGCTATATACATTTGAAACCCAGCCCGACTTCTCTATCTGTATCTACTCTCTTGCTCAGCCCCACATTTCCCCCTGCCTTCCACCTCATGATACATTTTTAGTTGTTGCCCCACGTTTTAGCATCTAATTACTACCTAGCAGTTTCCTATGTTGGTTCTATTTAAACTTTTTGAGGCTGTGACCATCTTCCATCCCTTTATTTTCTTAAGAGTTCCCCAGACCAATATTAGGCATGTAGTACATACTTGGAAAGTATTTGTTTGATGATATTCATTGTTTTGTTGACTTCAATATTCCAGTAAAAAGTTAATCAGGGACATATTTTCTTAGATGTTTGTATTTATTAGTTACACATGAATGCTTTTGTTTTTATCCATTTAGTTATTAACATTGATTATAGAGGACTTTTTTTTTCATTTTATATTGCAATATGATCGTCTTGTATTAAATGTGTCTGCTGCTTTCTTAACAGGTAGATGCTGGCTGGATTGGATTTTGGTCCATAGTTGGAGGCTGTATTGTTGGAATAGCTATGGCAAGGTGAGAATATTTTGTTAAACTTGTGAGTGGACAGAGGTGGGGGGAGAAAAAAACCTAGACAAATAGACTCCCCTAAAAACATTACAATTCAGGGAAAAGTAAAACAAGCAAAGCTCAGAAAGGTTACTTGTTTAGACTACAAGAAAATTCACATGTGTTATATAGAATTTACTGCTGTAGTCCAGGCTCAGTGGCTCATGCCTATAATCCTAACACTTTGGGAGACTGAGGTGGGTGGATCCCTTGAGGTGAGGAGTTTAAGACCCGCCTAGCCAACACGGCAAAACCCTGTCTCTACTAAAATACAAAATTAGCTGGGTATGGTGATGAACACCTGAAGTCCCAGCTACTCTGGAGGCTGAGGCAGGAGAATTGCTTGAACCCGGAAGCCACAGTTTGCAGTGAGCCATTGCTTTCCAGTCTGGGTGACAAAATGAGACTCTCTCAAAAAAAAAAAAAAAAGAATTTGCTACTACAAGAAAGTTCCTCAGGAGTAGCCCCTTCCTCAAGTGTTTTTTGGAGACTGGAAATGTATTTCCAGTGTAATTAAGCTGTCTGTCTCCATGTTATTAGAGAACAACATCTACAAATGGAGCCCAAAAAAGGTAATGTAATAATTAATAGCCATGGAGACTGTAATTTACAAAAGAAATTATTTGTAAAAGCATCTCTAGAACTTTCCACGAACAGACCGTGTCCTGATTAACAGATATTATTTATTTATGGTCTTTTTGGGTAGGTATCTTCCTGTGGTTATCCCTTTTTGATGAAAAATGTCTCTGAAGACTCAGTTTCATCACACTCTCTTTGATCATAACCTATTACTAGAACGAGTCAGAAGAAGGAAAAAGGTCCCATTTATTCTAAAAAAAGGAAGAGAATGAAAATGTCACTCTTTGAGGCAACTTCCTATAAAACTATTCTTCGTGTTTCCAAAGAGATAATACTCATTCACTTCCCAAATTGTTTTACTCTGCTTAATCAAAAACAAAATTAGGCAATCAACTTTACCATGAAGAGGAGAATCTAATTACATATTTGGGAAGATCAAATAAGATCCATATAGCACACCAATATCTAAATACTTGAACATAATTGATACAGGATAATGTTATACCTAGACCTTATGGTTTGCATGGTGTTTCTGGGGTACTGAAAGAATAAATCGACACTGTAATTTCTAAATCACTTTATTTGAAGTTTTCAGTTAGGAAAATATAAGCAAACTAAAAGCTAAAGAAGGCGAATGGGAAAATAGTATTTGTTGGAAAACACTGATACTAAAAATATATTTGTCTTATTTTGACAAGAATCATACCTCATTTTTCTAGTTAAATCTCCAAGCCAATTATAATGAGTCATCATTGATCACATCCTATTCTGAGCACCAAATTGGTCAAAAATGATGTCTCACATGCTCCTTTCTCATTATTTTCCTTCTGTACCCCTTACTTTTAATGATTGATCGATAGATAGATAGATCGATTGATCTAGAGGGAAAAGTTAGAATGATAACATTTCTGCTTTTAATTTGTTGAAATGGAAGTTCTAAAAAATACTACCCTTGCTTTGGGATCTGAAATCGATTTTAGTTATCTCCTAGCCCTAAAATCAACTTTAAAATTACTTTCATGACGCCATTTTATGGGATTCCCAAGAACAGAGCTTCCTTGTAGACATCAGTGCTTTGGGTGATATTTTGTAATTATGTTAAGACCACTATTAAAGGTACTTCTTGGTTCTAATAATCCACTTTGATGATATCAGCCTATTTGAAAGGACTGGGTCTCCAAAAATAGCAGACTATAGTTGTTGATTTTTTCTTGCATGATCAGTTTCTGTGATACTTCCTTGCAATTCAACTCTGATTTGTACCAAAAAGCTGTTTATACCTTGTCATCTCTGTATCTGACAAATAAGTTGATGCAGCATATCAAAATGTAAATTGGAAAACTGGTAAGTATGAGATTAAACCAGTCTTTTGGGTTTTCTTGAGGAACATTCTGTAAAGCTGTAGAAACTTTTTCAGCATACGTAAGAATTTTCTGCTTGAGGACAAATATAAGTCACTGGGCAAAAGTGCATTCATTTTTCCCACCAAAAGATGGCATCAGCTCTCATAGGAAGTCATTTTATTCTAGACAACACCAACATGATTAACTGTATTGTGTCAAATAAGAACAAAACAGCAGATAGTATTCAAAGTTTTAAGGACAGTCATATAATTACAAAAGAAATTAAAATCAACTTTAGGAAATTCAAAGTGGAAAGAATATAGTAAATGTCGTATTTGAGATGGGATCAGCTATTCTATAACCAGAACAATTCTGAAGGACAGAATAAACTGTGTACAGGCACAGCCAGAGGATTGTGCCTGTACAATCAACAGTTAATCCACAGGTGAGGAAAAGCAGCTGGCAAGTGGAAAAATTTTTTGGCATAACTAAATGATAAGCATCTCTACCAGGTGCCCTTTAGTTTCATGAAAACTCAAATGTAAAAATTTTAAATGCTGTAAAAGTCCCAAGCTTAGAAAAATAATAGTCAGTATTCCAAATGCTGTGTGTCAGGAAGTTTACAGTCTGGCAGGACAGACAAAAAATAAATGCAAAAACTAGACAATTTCCAACAGAGAAAGTGGAGATGGGATGGGGAGAGACTTCTTCATTGAGCACAGAGGGCCTTGTTGAACTGAGACGTGAATGACCTGAGGGGTAAACAGGAGTAAGATATGTGAAGATCCAAGTGGTACCAGCATTCCAGGCAGATGGAACAAGTATGGAAGCTACATATTGCTGTATGAGAAACAGAAGCATGGCCATCCAACTGGAGAATAGTAGGAAAAGAGAGCAGGGGCAGGCAGCACTTCACATAGGATCTCAAAGGCTCTGGTATAGTCATCTGTGTTTGTTCTGTAAGTGAGTTTGAATTTTGAGAGAGATCTTTGCAAGTTTATGTCAACAAGTTAGCCTAATTTTCAAAACTGGGATAATATATGTTCATTATAGAATGTTGGAAAGGTATAAAAAAATAAAGAAAATGACAGTGGCACTTAAAAACTCAGAATCAGCCAGGCATGGTGGCTCATGTCTGTAATACCAGCACTTGGGAGACTGAGGTGGGAGGGTTGCCTGGGCCTGGGAAGTTGAGGCTGCAGTGAGCCATGATCACATCACTGTACTCCAGCTGGGAAATGGTGAGATCCTGTCTCAAAAAAAAAAAAAGTAAACACTCAGAATATGTCCTATAAGTTATAGATTCTGGACAAATATGCCATTTTTTTGTGTTTTATAAGAAAGAAAAAATTATCACAAGTAATATCATACAAGATTTGTTACAAAAAACACAAAAACCTGTCTTTTAAAAGGATACATGGAAAATTCCTCCAGTAATTGTTAATCAAAGTGTGTCATTTGTTTAAATAGTATTTTTAAATCCCACTAGAATTAATAGAACTTTTTTTTTAGGTTTGCAGATTTTATCAGAGGTATGCTGAAACTAATTCTTCTCCTCCTGTTTTCTGGAGCTACACTGTCATCCACATGGTTCACCCTGACGTGTTTGAACAGCATCACACACCTACCTTTAACCACAGGTGAACACAGGCTATTTTTGAACTTCGAATAAATATTTTCAGTTTGCAGAAGTGTACATAACTCTGACAGTAGGACTTCCTGCTTTCTGTAAGTAGTTGTTAAATTACAGAAAATTTTCTCTTGTCCAGTCATCAAACCATCATCTTATCTAAAGAGTCCAAGAAATAACTAAAAATATTTTAATTGGTATTTTTCACATGGAAAAGAAGTATAATATTTATTTAGCCTTAACATGTAGAGCATGGAAATGCTTATATTTGTTTAAAATTACTATCAGAGCATAATACAAAGATTTTTATATTGGTTGTAGTCACTATATCACTGTTAAGCAATAATAAAAATTAAGAAAGGCAAACAACTGTGGTATACTTCAGTAAAAGTCTTTGAACCAGCCCCTATAGGTTCATTTTACATTTAGTTTTATTACCTCATTAATACAAAGCAAAACTTACTGGAAATACCTGTTGAGAGTATATTACAGCCAGCTTACTTAGCTTATCTAATGGACCTGAAGCATTTTTAGTTGCTGTTTTTATTGTCATTATTAATATCATCCATTCAGAGTCTATATTAGTTTTCTATCACTGCTACAAAAGTTATACAAATTTAGCAACTTAAAACAACAGAAATTTATTATCTTACATTTCTATAGGATAGAAGTTCAATACAAGTCTCCCTGGGCTAAAATCAAAATATGAACAGACTCTAGGGAAGAATCTTTTTCCTTGCCTTTTCCACCTTCTAGATGTCACCCACATTCCTTGTTTATGGCTCTGTCCTCCACCTTCAGAGCCAGCAACAATGGGTCAAGCGCTTTTCACGTTGCATTATCTGTGCCTTTCTTCCATACTTAGATCTGCTTCTGAACCCCTCCCTTCTGCCTCCCTCTTTCTTCCTCCTCTTCCACTTCCACTTTTAAGGATGCTTATGATTACATTGGGCCCAACAAGATAATGGAATAGTCTCTCAATTTTAAGGCCAGCTGGTTAGCAACCTTAGTCCCATTTCAACCTTAATCCCCTTTGCCTTGTAAAGTAACATATTCACAAATTCCGGAGATTATTCTGAATATCTTTAGGGGAGGGAGGGTGTTACTCTGCCTACCATAGGATCTTTTTAAAATTACATGACAGATTATCATTAGCTTATAAGCCAGAGACTCTGTTATTGTTTCTTCCTTTCTTCCAGCAAAATACTAAGATACGTATTTTACATTATTTGCAAGTAATATTCAGTAAGCTTTTGCATTATGTATTTAATTATAGGATTATTTGTTATAAAGGTAGATTGTAAGATTGTAACAATAATTTATAACAAGCATTGTGTGAGTAGACATAAATAAGAGTCTGAAAGTGACTCCATGGGGACCTATTGCCCAGTGGCATGTATGTTCCAGGGGAATCTTTGAGAAGGCAGGTTTTTTTGGTTTACATTACATGTAAGAAATACTGCATATCCTAGTTTGGATCTCTGTACTATGTAATAAAAGAACCAGCAGTGTACACATCAGAGGCATCAAATCTTTCAAGGACAGCCATTTATTTGGGATTTCTTACCACTTTTACAGTGATAATAGGACAAAGGGATAAGGTTGCCCTATACTCAAAATTACCAACCTTTGCACCAACGCCAGCCACCCTGGAGTACCTCAGTAAACTCACGGGGCAGCACAGGGATACTCAACATCTGTCAGCTGCTCAACGTCTGGTTGAACCTCTAGTTCAGGGAAGTTCCCGGTTTCAGCATTAAATTGTGCTGCGTTCTTTTTGATGACGACATATCTTTGCAAAGTAATTTTTTTTGGCAGTTGCTGTGATAAAAAAGAAGTAACACATAAAAATTAGTGTGGAACACAAAATGAGGGTGGGGTTGTCCAATGTGATTCCAAATATTTTGAAAGTCTTGCAGTGTGCCTGAGTGTACATATCTCATCAGTAAGTAATTGTGGTTCTTTATGAATGAAATAAAAATATATGTCTTTCAGCTTATGGGAAGTATTTTTTAAATGGCTACTAAATTGTTAGGGCATATAACACATGTTATTAAATAGTTTGAATCAAATGATGTGATTAATGAGATTGTTAGCTATTTCTTTGGCCTTGGAACACCGTGAAAAAATTACTGAGACACTAGAAGTGCTAAGAACAAAGAAGGTTTGGAAAGCCCTGCTCTACACCATCCTGCCAACAGTCCCTCTTCTCTGTACACATTGCTCTGCCTGGAAAACCCAGTTGTCCAGAGTAATAATTAGATACAGAGTAAAATACTGTGCACTGTTGTACACACTGGCATCCTACATTGGGTTTCAAACAATTTTGGCAAGTATTCTGAGCCAGAATTTAAAAAAAAAATTTTATTCTGGTATAACTTCATAATTTAGCAGTTGTACAACATTCTGGTGGAACAGTCTTAGTTTACAACTCTTCTTATTCATGACATTACGTTCAGAGTTATTTTGTGTGATACTGTATGTCAAGTTAGCATCTGTGAGATTTTACAGGAACATGGTCATGGGTACATATGGAACAGATTTCTTTCCTTGAATTAAGGGTAGAATTTTTATTATAAGATAGTACATTCTATTAGATTTTATGTATTTTCTATTTAATATGATGAAATTAACTGCTTTATCTCTGGGTGGAGGATTAAGAATTAATTTAATTTTTTAATCTATTTTTTTGTTTGAATTTGTACAATAAGCATGTTTTAATTTTATAATCAGGGAAAAATGTATTTGAAAATTATACATCTTCTAAATCTTAAAATTGATGTGATTGACCCTAGTCAAGACCATATTTTGCCAGTCTGGTATTGGAAACAATTATGTTAGACAGAAAGGAAAGCAGAATTCTAAATTAAGTCAAGGCCAGTATTGAAAGATTGAGTTGATGTGGCCATCTTAACAACCACAGAATTTATAAGTTCTGTTGTTTTCAATTGCAATAAGTTTTTGAATGTCACTTACATACTCCTTAAAGATATGTTTTTACCTTATAAGCACACTTGGGTAAGGACTAGATTTGTCCACATTCCTTCTCTGAATTATAGCAGGTATTTGCCAAAACTGCTTAATAGTTACTTGAGTATATGTCTTACCTCCCCTACCAGTCTGAAAATCTGGAGCATGGATTTGTGCCAACTCCCACTCTGGCACCTAGCACAGGCCCTGAATGAATGAATGAATGAATGAAGTATATGTTATCTCCATTAGAGCCTCAGTAAACATTACTTGTTGCCAGTGGCAATCAGCAATTGTGGTCACTCTTAATCAGTACTAACTGTAGGAAGGCAGAAGGGCACATTTTACATGGAACAGTAGAACACTGAATAAATCTGTCACAAATACTCTTATGAGACTTGTAAAATTCTGACCTAATTCCTTTTAAGTAAAAAAGATTTGATGAAAGGAAACTTACTACAAAATCTAATTATAGACAAATCTATACCTTTAGCCTTGTATTTAAAGTCCATAATGGCAAATTCATGTTTCTTTTTTCACTGGTCATTTCTATTTTTATCAGGAAAATATCTAGTCTTTTTCCTGTTTCCTAGCAAACTTAGAATTTCTATTATGCCTTTTTATGTATCAGAAGAATCTATATGAACCGTATTTGTAAATATATGCATTAATTTAAACTGTTTAATAAATGGAAAGCTAGTTAATTTTGTTCAACCCATGTGTTATAAGTGCTACTACTGCTGTCTCATTAAATCTTTCTTTTTTTTTTTTTTTTTTTAAGACAGAATCTTACTCTATCACAGACTGGAGTGCAGTGGCACAATCTCAGCTCACTGCAACCTCCGTCTCCCAGGTTCAAGTGATTCTCATGCATCAGCCTCCCGGGTAGCTGGGATTACAGGCATGAGCCCAACGCCAGGCCTCATTAAAACTTTCTGGGCTGGGTGTAGTGGCTCATGCCTGTAATCCCAGCATTTTGGGAGGCTGAGGCAGGCAGATCACAAGGTCAAGAGATCAAGACCATCCTGGCCAACATGGTGAAACTCCATCTCTGCTAAAAACACAAAAATTAGCTGGGCATGATGGTATGTGCCTGTAGTCCCAGCTACTCAGGAAGCGGAGGCAGGAGAATTCTTTGAACTCGGGAGGCAGAAGTTACTATGAGCCGAGATTGCGCCACTGTACTCCAGCCTGGTGTCAGAGCGATACTCCATCTCAAAAAAAAAAAAGAAAAAAAAAAAAAACTTTATCTTGCAGTCTTTCTATAGTTCACTGGTCCTGATATTGTTACTATCTCTACAGAAAAAGCTGGGTCATTCCAGTCTATCCCAGAGCATACTGTTTTGATACATGTACTTTCTTACATATATCCTCTTGGAGGCTTTTCCTTAGGAAAACTCAGAATAGTTAAAATTGTATTATGTCTTTATTAATAAAAGTACTTAGAATAGGGCAAATAAATAACCTCATGACTAGGTAACACGAATTTCAAAATCTTGAAGTTTATGCAATAAATAAAATTGTGAAAACACATTATTCACCTTATCTGAGAACTAGATGTCTAGCAGCCCTGTTAGCCACAACTCACCAAGTCATTTTGTACTGAACAGATGAATGCTTTGAAAATGGCATTTTGAAAAATGTTAGCACTTTGTTGAGTTTAATGAAACAGTATAATTTGACTGTTTGACAGAAGTTGCCTTGGGAGAGATTTTTATCTAATTTCATCTAAAGTCACTAGAATGCTGTGACAGCGATATCAGAAACATGCTGGGTGGATGGGAAAGGAAGGACAACTAGCTAGACAGAAGCCCCTAGGGAGAGATAGCTGACCACAAGGTGACGTCAAGTGTTATTTAAAGAAAGGAAACATACCCAGTTGTATTAAAAGGCATGCAACAGTTGGGTACAGTGTGGCTTATGCCTATAATCCCAGCACTTTGGGAGGCCAAGGCAGGAGGATCACTTGAGGCCAGCCTGAGCAACATAGTGAGACCATGTCCCTACCATTAAACAAAAAAAAAAAAATTACCAGGTGTC